ATATGGTTCATGGGGTCACGAAGAGTCGGACATGACTTAACGACTGAACAACAACAACAAACATGGATATTAAGAAAAGTGAAAGTAGTAATGTATGTTTAGCCACATTCAATAGGAAACTGACATTGTAAAGTATTTATAGATTTATACATACTTGATTCTGAATTGTCTTGTGGATTTTAAATATAGCCAATTATATCTTTGAACCATTCACTACCGTACCAATTTCATTTTTTTATCCTGCTACAACAGCTTTTTTTTTACATAAATTGAAATATTGCATATCTATGTGATACTTTTTAGCAGTACAGTTCCTATGATACTTTTTAATGTTGACAACAGAGTAGTTTAACAACAGTTCATAATATCATCATTTAATAGGGAAATGGTAGTATATAAACATGGAAAGTGTTTTCCCTTGTATAAGTATTTCTAAATATGAATCCATTTGAAATATGAATATTGACTCATTTATTAGCATATCATGATTAATTGCTGGCTGATCAAACAAAATATACAGAAATATTTTTTTAATAGAATAATTATTTTGAATTGATAAGATAAATTTCTATTTGGATTTCCCACAAAATAGCAACTTATCTTTCAGGTTCAAGATTAAGAGAGATTTTATTGGAAATAACTATTTGATACCATGCAAACTGAATATATATCCTGATTATTTAGATTAGCGTGGGCAATACCAAACATTCATTTCTTCATATTTTGTTTCATGTTTATACACCAGATTATTTTGAAAGCTTATCTGTAAAACAGCCAGTAATTTTACCGAAACATCAAAATAAAGTTTAGGAGAAAAGTAAAATAATCACAAAATGGCAAAGACATAGAGAAAAATGGTAAATTATTTCCCACCATATCCTTGACAGTTTGCATGCAGAACATGATTGTGCTTCCAGCTGGAATAGAAGTAATAGCTAGTTAAGAACTTGTATTTTCAGTTTTAAAATATAGTAGTTTTGAGCACTGATGGAAGTTTTTGATTTGAAAGGACATGTCTTGATTCCACTGACTAAATAGGATACCTGAACTCTAAAATGAAATGGATATTCTGACTTGTAGATTTATTGAGTGCTTATTTTAATGGAAAGTCATTAAAAATGAGTGGGATATATTCTCTCAAGGAGTAAAATTAAACCATGGTATTGTCCATTGCGTTCTTTCAATGTATCTTTCAAGATGGTCCTCAAACATGCTGTAGTCTGTGTCGACTACATGTTAAGGCTAAGGAAGGGTTGCTGTCTCCTGGCTCTGTTGATAGAACCTCTGTTGATATCAGCAACAATTAATTGGATTCTGTTCATTAGTTTGAATAATCCTCCTTGCCTTTATGGTATAGGTGAGCGCAAGATAGTTATACAGTATTTTTTGAGTTGTAGCGCTTGGAGTGATCTTGTGAATGGCTGCTTAACTTCTAAGGAGCATCATTAACACCTATGCACTAGGTTCTGCCTGCACTAAAAAAGCCTTCTCTGTAATTAATAAGGGAAATAATATGTTGCTAGTGCCTTTTCCCCCTTGCCTTCCTTTATCTCATGTTATGTCCAGTCGTATACAAAGCTGAGTGACTTCTATGAGGAAAAGCAGAAAAAACACCTGAAGACCATGTTCTGGGCTTCCTGGAGGCTGGGAAATGGGTTGCCCGCAAGCTGCATAGAGGCCAAGAGGTAAAGTCTCTCTCAAATTGAGCTTAGCTCTTGAGAACTCCATGTCCATGTATTTTTTTTGGTGGACATAAATGGTGGCCAAAAATGGCCACCTTCTAGGAATGTTTTGTCTGTTTTAAACTTCCCAATAGAGAATATAGCCCTTGAATTTCTTAATGGTCTCATTTCCAAGTATCAAACAGGTCCAATTCTGCCTAGACCTGCTGACTGCAGTGAACCATAGGGTTGTAGCATTTTCTTTAAAAGATTAATTTTACTGCTGTTTCAAATACACTGCAGGAGAACTAGATACCGATTAGCTCATCCTTTGAGCAGAGGCATCATTGTGGAATCACAGAGGTCAAGCACTGCTTCCAAACTAACACAGAGTCTTTGTGTAGAAAAGCCTTTAGTTTTGTATTTTGAATGTCTTGTGCTACAGCATTATCTGTAATTTAATTTAATAGTTTCTCTTGTGTCAGACTGTACTTTACTGTTTCTATAGAAACTTTAACTATTTGCAGATAACATTGTATTGCTAACATAATCTCCAGATGGAATGGGAGACTAACCCTAATCTGCCTGCCTGCCTTCCTAATGTTTGTATGGCTGCCCATCTTAAAACACAACTCTTGGTGGCTCACAATAACAATAAAATCCAGAACGATAAAAACCCTGTCCTGGATCAGAGTTCAAGGTACAAGAGGACTGGATTCACAGGCTTGAAAATAATAGGCATTGTTTCCAGCAACAAGTTATAGTTAAAAAGAGAGCTTTATATTAGAAACTGTAGCTCTCCTGTCCTCACTTAGCTGGTGCTCATTATACCTGATTTAGATTCAGGGCCATCCGAGCATGCTAGACTACTCTCAAGTAGAATTTCATTCCCAAAATGCTCTCCCTTTCAAGTGAGCACATCAGCAAATCTCTACTTTCTGATACTGAACCTGGCAACCCAGTATTGCTGAATATATAGGCTGGGTGAGATGAGAGTCCTGAGAAGTTAGTGGAGGTTGATTCTGGTTTTGTAATGGTATGTGGGAAAGTCCTGGGGGGACGGGGCAAAGAGACGCTGTCTAGGGAATGGTCAGATAAGAGAGAGCCCACAGCTGGATAGGGGGTGGACCAAGAGGCTCAGAAGGGACCCTCCCTAATTTCTTGGGCTGTAAAGGAGACGGCAGGAGATTTGTACTTTCAGTCTTGAAAGATGTAGCTTTACAATAAAGTAGAATTAGCTTATCTGCTTGTGTTTCCTGTCTGGTCTACCTGGTAAGGCTGACAGGTTCACATCTTGTATTATGGCCTGTCTGGTGGTGCAGTGAGTTTACTGTAGCTATTTTCTTCCTCCGAGGAATCATTTCTCCAATGATGTCATGGCAGATGCCGATACAGTGCATCATTCTGTGGTCTCGTATCATTCCTTAAATTGATATATTGCTTATTCTTGAAGTATTCATTGATGCTTCATCCAAGCAAAACTTTGGCAGAAATTTAGATTGCTTAAAAAATGCTGTGGTATGGAATGTTCTTGTTCAGGGCGCAGCCAGTCAACCATGTCATCTTTTAAATCCTGTTCTTCTCCCTCTGCAACAGAGCATAGCATTCTGTGGTTGTTAAGCTTGCTGTGTTCTCTTTGGTATGTTTTTTATTTTTCACCATTATTCTGCTGTTAAATTTGTTTTCCTAAAAATTGTTTTGGCATTTCTGCTGACTCTGGAATTTTTTTCTCTTCAATAAGAATAATACCTGTTTAACCACAGTTAAGAACTAATACTTAGAGAATGCGGGTTTTATTCATATACTGCACACTTCCTATTGAGTTGGTCATCAGAACAGTGAGATAACCCTTCAAATGAGATTGGTTAAAATACCACAGTTCTCCATGTGCTAACCTTCTTTGAGTAAATATAGCAGACTGGTTATGTTGCATAGAATATGCTTTCCTATTCATACTATACCTTTCTCTCTCTCTATTTTTAGAGAAAATCAGACAAAGATATGCAGATCTGCCTGGAGAATTGCACATTATTGAACTTGAAAAAGATAAAAATGGACTTGGACTCAGCCTTGCAGGCAACAAGGATAGGTCTCGCATGAGCATTTTTGTTGTGGGTATTAGTCCAGATGGTCCTGCAGGAAAAGATGGAAGAATGCATATTGGAGATGAACTTTTAGAGGTAATTTTTTAAAAAGTTTGATTATATAAAGCTAATCAAATGGTTTACTGTTCAGTGCAAAACAATTGTTTAAGAGAACTGTCAACAAATATTAATGAGGGAAATTGCTATATGATAGGGAAATTATAAACAGGTGACCTTCTATTTGTTTCTTTTCTCCAAAAAACAGATCAGTTTTTATGTCTCAACCTAAGCCATCTTCAGAGTGATTCCTAATGCTTTCAGGCAAGGATTTTATTATCTGAATACCTTGCCCAGTTTTGTGGTGCTTGGAGCCATCTATCTGGAAGCATTCTCTGTCCCATGAAACAATCTCATTTATATATGTGGAGTGTGGCAGTCCCGTTTAGTGAATATCTTTTATTTGGGATAATTGTTCTATATACATTTTTCCTTCTCTTGGTTGAGTATTAAAAGACTACAGATGCATTCTGTGCTCAGTTGTTTTAGAGCAATCCATATTAGAACTTACTAGAACTTGCTTCTGGGTAGTCTTATAAAAACATTAAATTGTTAGCTAAGTTAGTGTTTGCACAGCTAGCTCGGGAAGCAGATACTGCAGGCTTAAGAAGAAAGTGTTGTCCCAAGATTTATTTTAAATTCAGACTCAGTGATCAGAGACAGAAACACCTACTCTAGGAGCCCTGTTGTTTAGAGAGACTTCAGAAGGCAAGCTTACAATAAGAATTGTAGGATAGTGTACACTAACAATACAAATACAATACAAATACAAAATACTTC